CTCTCAAGCAAAAACCTAGAAATAAAGTGTTTGTGTTAATGCGCCCAGTGTAAAACAGCGCGTGACAAAAGAATCGTTTAACTTGTTCAGATGAGGTAACCAATCGATTAAACTTAATGGATCATCGTTGCACACATCAGATCTGAAGGATTATCATTTCTCATGAAATTGCTAGCTTGAATCGAATAAACAGGACACTGATTTGAATGCGACAAAACCGTGAATTTAATGATCTACCATGAATTGCATTCCGGCTGGATCTTGATTCATCAAGGTGGACAAGTCTGATGTCGATAACCAATACCTGATGTGTCGAGGAGGCTTCTTATCCCATGATTTGCTGCAAGCTATACCTAATTGCATCAGTATAATCAGCCACATTTTATCTCTCCTAAAAATTCCTTGCGCTGGCTTGTATAGGGCTCCTATAACCTTACGTTTAAGAATCGTGTTCCTAACAAAGCGTCCACATTTGTCAGATTGTCTGGGCTTCCTAACATTAACCTCTCAATCATTGGTTGATCCTTACTAGTTCAACTGAAAACGTACAGCAAGTGGGGCTTTCCTCTCTACTACGCGTTGTGCTAGTAAACAATCCTGTTTATTAGCCTCTGATCTCTTTTCTCTACTTGCTGCGTAAGCGCACGATACCAAGAAGCATGAGTAATTCCTAGTGGATCGATGATCGTCACGAACAACCCTTTTATGTTTGCATTAAGCCAATAATTCTTGTCGCATCGGTGAAGGGAACGTTTGTGAAATCAGGGCATCTGTATTCTACCACGTATTAGACTGGGTGTATCACCCTCGATTTCGATTCCAGGCCAACAAATTGAGGCCAGGCCAACTGATCTTGATTCTGATACTGTATGATTATGTCCTTAAAATATAGCGACGTCTTCCGGAGGATGATAATTCTACGAGTTCGGGCATTGGATACAAATCACAGCTAAGAACGAACATCTTGACTCGACTTCCTCTTTCAAGAGCTAACATGAAAGAAATGTCGATAGTCTTTTGTATCACAGATATCTTGATAAATGTCTCTTCAGGTACTTAGACCCCATCCACTTTAAACAATTAGGGTTAACTGGTAACTCGCATGAGGTTCGCAACCGTCGGTTCCCGAACGTCACGCGAGCTAGTGGTTAGTCATGCAACACTTGAAGTCACAATTCTTCAGCCCGTGTCCGCCATGTTGGTCGGCTAACAAGCATTGGAGAAACTCTGCATTATCTTCGCGCTACAGAAGACCCATATATTCAGAAAATGTGTCTGAAATCGAGTATTATGACCTTATATTTGAGATAAGTAAGAAAATTGACGTAAACCAATTATAAAGATTGGTTTTTATGTGCACAAAGCAGATCTCAGAAGGCAGTGAAGGAACGATAAAAAGTGCACGCGGAGAATTTAAAGAGCTTGAGAAAAAGAGTTACCAAGGAATCGACCGATTGGAAACGTTGAAACAGATTTTGAAACAGTTGAAGAAGCGATCCATGCTCAAGAAGGTGGAAGAGTTTTAGATCAAGAGAAAAGGTGCCCAATTGAATATAATGCTAGTCATATTGATTTGTTTTGAAATTTAGCGAAGGAAATTTGAAATGTTGCAAGTACCTTTTTGCTCGAGAAGTTCAATTTAAAGCTTAGAGCTTCTTCATTGGTTGCATAGGAAATGATTTCTTGGTAAGAGGGACTATGTATCAGTCTGATAATTTCGTTTAGCAGTTATTGCTTTCGAATTTTATGTTACCATGTTGCCAGCATTAAGAATCTTTTGTTATCATGGCTTCAGATAACCTCACGAATCCTTAAATTTCAGCTCAGTCAGTTGGCATCGTTACTTCATTTAAGCTGGCCGCTGTCAATTTGAAAGGAGGTAAGGTGTAAAAAGGCAAGGTTCTTGTGCATCTAAAATATTTAGGGCAAACAGGCATAGGCCAGATACTGAATACGAATGACAGAAATGTTTGATAAAATTAGTTAGTATTTATAATGGTGTAGAATCAGTGCTCTGCCTGTCATGCATTACGACATAGTTTTATTAGAGTATTTTTGTGTGCTAAACAATTAAGTCGACTCTTGTAAGCCCCAGTTCACATTATATAAGTTCCAAATAGCCAGAAACATGGATAATCAGGGATACAGACAGAAATACATGACTTGTTCCAACCTCTCTTCCAAACTTTCCATTTTGAAGGAGTGTCAAATGGTGTAATTCTTTCAATGCTCACAAACCTTTCAAAATGTGGCTTCTGCTTGATGTACTAGCAAAATTTGAAACTATATTTATTTGCCCAAGCTTGCAATATTTTATGCATGCCTGTGTGCATGCATGAATGCATATCCAGATCAATTTACCCCAAATGCAGTTTTACACAATTAGTTTAACCTGACAAGGCACTAATCTGAGAGCTTTAGAGAGAGAATTAATTTGGAGTTGTGCTTGTGGAAAATTTTCCATCTATATAATGCTGTAATATTATCTCTAGCTTTCAATCACAACTGGAAAATTATATTTAAGAAATGCAGACTTTTGTCAATATTTCCAGAGGTTCCCTTTCTTCTTTCTTCCATTCACTCTCATGTTGCTAGTCCAATGAAATGACTTTTTTTTCTGGTGTGTGGGTGTGTGAGGGGGGTGGGGATGGTTGGCAACTGAGCTTGAGAATAATTATAGTCATAGTGTTGTATAAAATTTTTGAATTGGCTTCAATGATGTTAGATAGTTAGTTACCAGTTTGGACACCAGGCCTTGTTTGAAAGACATATACAAATGGCCTGCAGCCTGTAGTTGTCTATGGTTAATGTGGTGCAGTGATTTTAAAATCCACCACATTTATTATTTTCAGTGGGTTTTTTTCAAGATTTTCATACCTGGCATTACACAATGTTCAAAAGTATTCCAGTTCAGTCATGTCAATTGAATTAATTTGCATTGTGAGAACAAACCAAAAGATTGTGTACAGGTGAATTATTTTATCTGTGAGTTTTGCCCAGCTTCAAATTAACTTATCATTATTCTCCTCCACAAAACAAACACTGTTGGTAGCTGACTAAGTTTTTAGTAGTGAAGACTAATGTGAACAAAGTATTATACAGAATTTACCCTTGGACACTGATTCTTGGCCCTTAGTTTTTATTGTATAACTACAATACAAACTAAGTTAAATTCTATGTTACTGACATTTTAGTGATTAGGTGATTAGGGTTTATGAAATGTGTTACAACACCTTGTTTGCATGCAGTTACAATAACCTCAACACATCATTTACAGAGGCTAAGCCATGATTAATCCAGACAGTAATTAATTTTTTACTATTATAAAAAAATCTGCGGTTGTAAAGAAGCTATTTGCATACCACGAATAATTTTGAGAGTATTCATAATTAGTCAATGTAATTGTATTTTTAATGTCTCAAAATCACTCAAAAAGGGCTGTTTATTTACAAAATTTGGCATCTGCTTGATGTACTAGCAAAATTTGAAAATGTATTTATTTGTCCATGCTTGCAATATTTTTGCTACTGCCTGCATGCATACATGGATGCATACCCAGATCAATTTCTCAACATGCAGTTTGACACAAATTAGTTTAAGCTGATAAGGCACTAATCTGGAAGCTATAGAGAGCGAATTAATTAGGATTTGTGCTTGTGGAAAATTTGCCTTCTATATAATGCTGTAATGTTGTCCCCGGCTTTCAATCACAACTGGAAAATTATATTTAAGAAATGCAGACTTATGTCCATATTTCCAGAGGTTCCTGTCCTTCTTTCTTCCATACACTCTCATGGTGCTAGTCAAATGAAATGACTTTTTTTCTGGTAGGTTTAGGGGTTGTGAGTGTTTGTGTTTGTGGGGATAGGGGTGGTTGGAAACATTTCAGCTAAACTGAGATTGACAATTATAGCCATAACATTGTATAACATGTTGGAATTGACTTAGATGATGTCAGATAGTTAGTTACCAGTTTGGACACCAGGCCTTGTTTGAACAATGTTCAAAAGCATTCCAGTCAAGTCAAATTAATTTATTTGTATTTTGGGAACAAAAACAAAAAATTGTGTACAGGCTGGAACTCTTATCACCCCAGTTAATTATTTTATCTGTGAGTTTTTCCCAGCTTTAAATTAACCAACTATTATTCTCCTCCACAAAACAAACACAGTTGGTAGCTGACTAAGTTTTTAGCACCAGTATTTTTGCAAATTTACTTAATGGTCAGACATAGAGGTGAAGACTATTGTGAACAAAATATTATACAGAATTTACCTTTGGAAATTGATTCTTGGCCCTTAGTTTGTATTGTGCAATTGAAGACGCAGAGAGAGTAATTTCCTCAATTCCCAGTATCACTGAAGGAGAACAAATTGATATTGACTTCTTCAGAAGTCATACAGAGTTGGTATATAATCAAGGTTGGTGATAATGTATGAACAGAATTTAGGCAAATGATGAGTAAAAAAAAAAAAATATCAATTAGGGGATTATTAGTTGATCCAATATTAAATTCTCCAAACTAACATAAACATTGTGCAGTAGACAGTAGGGAGAATTACTAATGAGATCTTGGAAGTGAAATGGTTGATACAATTTTTCTTTTTGCGATGCACAACACACATGTTTCAGCCACTTATAGAATTCGTCCCTCTCAATCCAGAGTTTGCCATGCTTACCACTGGACCACCATATTTCTCTTTGCAGTCATCAGAAATGTTAATTTTACCTTATGCTATCTCAATCTTCCTTCTAAATAGAATTATAATAAAGTTTGGAAATAAGGCACGAAGAAGAAGGGAGAAACATTCGACTATGTCTCGTGTTTTTCCCTACACTTCTTTCGCGCTCTTGCTGCTTCCTGCATGCTTTACAACAGAACAGAACATATTCAAGGCTTCTTTATTTGTATTAGACAACCTTTACGTGAATAGTAGAAAGCGGAGACCATCCGGTTATGTTTTCGTTTTTTTTCTTGATTATCGACTTTCTGTTTGCAGGTCATTGCTGAGGGGGCAAATGGGCCGACCACGCCCAAGGAAAAGAAAGTTCTGATTGAAAATAAGAAACTCGTTATTCCAGTAAGTTAACAAAGAAACAGCAAATGCAATCTGAAGTAAATTTTGATATGAAGCTCTTGTATTTGTTTATCGCAATTAATATTTGCACCAGAGGTATTGTTTGAGCTTGAATGTTTCATATTGTGACCATTTAGGACTTGTATTTAAATGCGGGAGGTGTGACAGTGTCCTATTTTGAGAGGCTGAAGAACATCAATCACATCAGTTTAAGACGTTTGACTCGGAAATACGAGAAGAAAGCAAATTTTCATCTTTTAGGTGAGCTTGTCTTTTCACTAAGAATACGTTTAATGATGGATCTTTATCATTCATTTTGTTTTCATAGATAAGAAATTTCACTATGAATATCAAGTGATTTAAGACAACATTTTCTTCACTATATAAAAGTGTACAATATGACTGAGAGCATGAATTGCAGTTTCCTTTCAACCTCGAATTCCAATCACGACCAATCTTGCCCTTTTTTTTTTTTGAACTGCATAAGTTTTCTTCTTCTTTTTTACTTCATTAGCTACCAGAGACAACTCACCTTCGTAGCCATTTTGCTTGTTAAACACTTTTGGTGACCTGTTTGTATTGCTTTAAGCAAACTCTCAGTGTTTCTGCATGTTTGTCTCCTTCGACAGGTAGCGTCCAAGAAAGCCTGTATCATCATTTCAAGGAAACCATTCGTTTAAAATCATCGCTTGAGTTCCTTCGAGAGATCGTTGTGAGCATTGCTTTTTATTTTCAGTTTATTAATACGAACCACAGGGGTGGATCTGGGGAATGTCCTGCAAAAAATTTGTTTTCGTCCCCCTGTCAGTTACGTCCTTCCTTAGTGGTACACTCCCCTCCTTAGAAAAATCCACATCCAAATTCTTGATCCTTCCCTACACCCAGCATAATTGATTAAGCAGTACGACTTTTGTTAAATTATTAGATAAATAAACCCCGCCTTTCTAGATGTGACGTTTATTCGGGGGAACCACTTATCGATATTGTTACTCTTCCTCTCGTTGCTTATTTAGGGAGGGGGGTTCATCGAGGGCAGTGCCTTAGCGAACAAACATGGTAGTTCAAGGTAATTTCGTCTCCAACTGGCTCGTTAACCATGAGACGTAAGATTCGTATCTGAAATGTAATGTAGACTTAATTCTCCTTTTAGGGAAGAAAATGTTTACCTTTTTCTTTTACATTGTATTGAAGAAAAAAGTTTGTATCCCTCTTGTTATACCTTAGGGCGCGAATGAAAAAGACATTGTTCATTCTGGATTGGAGTTCACCTTAGAACGATCAGCTAAGGTACGTCTTCTCTGTCACGGATTCGAAGTTTCTTTCGAATTCATGTCCAATTTTTGACCTTAACTTGGTTGCTGGGCTGTCAACATATCGGTAGCATTCCTGGGAAAAACAAATAAGCGTTAAAAAAAAAGTCCACTTTTGGTCCGCTTTGGCATTTGTTTCTCTTCTACAAATTTTACCTCAAATATGTAGTATTTTGCTTTGTGAGGCTTTGTGAGACTCGAAAGGTTGATTTTTATCGGGAAAAGAGGTTATCCTCCCAGTTGTCCTCCCAGTTTTCCAGACAAGTATCCAAACATAGAATCTGGTATTCACTATTGTGAATGAGGAAAGACTGTCACCAAAAGAAAACAGTGACCAGGAAACGTCGTCTGAAAGAGTCTATGAACTGTGTTTCCAAGAGAGTGATGGGTTCGAATCGTCATCGCGTATTTTTCCCTGTCTTTTTATTAGTAAAAAGTGAACATAACTTTGTTTTTTCTTTTTCTTTTTAGCAAATTATGCACTGTGCCAGTGAGTACGACCTAGGTCTAGACATAAGGACGGCTGCTTATACTATGTCCATGGAAAAAGGAACACGGTTATCTAGGTGTTGATCGCCTCAAACTAATGAAAGAGCTGTTGAAAAGTGTTAAGGAATGGTCTCTGTTTGGAAAAAATTAAAAAATTCGATAATAAACGAAAAGAATACAAAGGCTTACTTGAAAAGATCATCTGTGCATTGGACTAACTCAATGATATGGAACGGCTGATCACACTATGTAGAGGACATATTCGTGAAGGCAACATTGGTAACATTGTGGATGTTCGAAGAGCTAGAAAATCAGAAAACTCTGGGAATTGTTTATATAACATAGTATCTATAAAAGAAAAGACACTAAGTTAAAAACTGCCGAAACTACAGAAATCAAGAATGGTGTACATCACCTTGCAAGCGGCCGGACCCTTTCTTGTGGCGAAGGTCAACAAGATCTTACTTTATTCTCTTGATAGAGTAAGAAAAGCCCTTTGTAACTATGCCTCTTTTGTCTTTTACAAACTATTCAGCCAGAGCCTAGAGAGGAAATATTATGTTTACACCACGCTCTGCTTTGCTCTTTGGGCACTAAAGCGATACGAAATGTGAGACTATTTTTTTTCTTTTGTTGACGCATCACAGTCTAAAAGTCTGAGAGTTTGTTTATTGTTTTTTCTTGTTCAAATTTGTTTTATCCACTTAGATCTCAAACTTACACAAATTACGTGACCTTTATAGATATTTTGCATTGAATTAGCTAAATATCGATTGATAGCTACGTTGTGCCCGTTATTATCTTCACCAGCAGACAACTGAGTGTTTGTTGCAGCTTATATTCAGATTTGAAGAAAAAAATTGCGATTTCTTTATACGTGGAGCAAACTGGTTTATTTGATTAAATCGAGTAGTATTCTGAATGACAATCCCTAATCCAAACGCTTTCGTGGCAGAAAACCGAAATTTTATGAGGGGAGCATGGCGTAACATCCTGAAGCGCACTTGCGAAACTGAGGTAAGATAAATGCTAACTAGAGCTGATGTTACGTTGTACGTGGATGTTAAAGTCTAGGACAAAGAAGCCTATTCCAACCTCGACCCCTGATGCAAATAGGAAGGGAAGGGAATTTTTAGCTGTTACACATCTCAATGGACAAAAACTGGGCCAAAATATACCCCTGTGATCATATTACTCCCCACTGTGCAAACCTTGGCCTTCTTAATTCAACACATTTTATAATTAAGTTCTGATATAACGCAAGTCTTCATTGGTTGAAACAGCGTGCTCTATTAGAACATAGAACATAGAGCAAGAGAGCTTAAGGCGTCACGCCATCTGCTAAATTGCACTATGTCCAACCATTTCCCAGATTTCTCTCTAGCTCTTTTTTCATTAATTGAAAGTGAAATTTCGGAACAAGCCAGCCGGCAAGTAGCAACAGAAGAACCAAAATAAAGGTTTGTAAACATGCCAAGCGCCGTAATTTACGTTATTATATCATGAGCAGAGACGAAAATCCCCAGATAGAAAAGAAATGGACAGTCCGAGTTTGAAGGTTTTCTTGGTTAGTAAGGTTGCAAACTTAAGTACGGTAATAAACATCAAACACAGCTAACTCTCGTATAGTATATAGAATTTTGTGTTCAGAAACAAAACAGAACAAAACAGGAATGACGAAAATATCGCCAAACTGGCATAACTGTTAAATTCATACTAATCATAACGGAGTGAGAGCGACTGCGACTGTGCTGAGGTCCATCGCGGCTAGCTCATCATCGCGATCTCCGGTCAACGTAGTAAAGGAAGCCTCAGAAATTACATCGGCCGCCCTTCGAGTGAACAACTCAGAGCTTGCTCTGATATCCTTTCTGATGGGTTGAGTGCAGGCGAGTTTTACAGCACTGTCATCCCAAGCAATCTTCATCTTCATGTGAATTCGGCTGTCATTAATTGATAAAACACACGCCTTGAGCAGTTTGTTTTCTATTTGTCTTGTGAAAAAACTTCCGTTTTCATGATTCACAATTCAGCTGGATTTCATTAAACATTTCGCTTTCAGGTTCTGTATTAGAGCCAATAAAAACTTCAGCCAAAAGTGTTAAACTCGACCTGCCGAACTATTTCAGTTTGTAGACTATTGCAGATTGTGAATTTGATGGTTTGACATTTTTTGACAGCTTTAGTCTTATTCAATCAATCAGATTATTGAGGATTCTGATTAGCTTATTGTAGCGTACTTTATGAGAGTATGGAGCATGCTGAGGATTTTGTTATTCGCTATGAAAATAAAGTTTGTTTTGAAAATTGAGATTAATGTGTGGGGAATTTAAAGGATTCTTTATTATAAAAAAAAACCACAAGCCTTGACTGCACTCTGTTCTGTTGTAAGGCACTTAGGGAGCAGCTAGAGCACGCAAGAAGTGGGAAGAAACACTCGATTACGTTTTGCGTTTCCTCCTACACTTCTTTCGTGCTCTAGCCGCTTCTTGCATGCTTTACAACAAACAGCACACAGTCAAGACTACTCCATTTATTAAATAAGATTATTATTCACATTCAGTCAGATGAGGAAGGGAGAAATTTTACCACAATACTGTAACTCTGTACTCTAAAAAGTACTGCTATGTTTTGATGATCTTCACCCTAAGGGACTATCTACTTTTATGAGCTTCCTTCCTGACCTTAAAATTGGCATATCCAGCAAAATTGCTGAAATATTTCCTTGCCATACTTTGGATGAATGTTCACAAAAGTAGCAAACTCTTAAGATAGCTTTTACAGTAGGCAGGAGGGGTTTGAAGTTCACTCTTTTGACTTACATTTGCTGTTTCCTCTATTTTAGAACAAAGAGCTGCATTTATGTCATCAGTGAGAAGTACGCTAATGGGAGGTGAGCCTTTCAAAATTTTATTTGTTTTATTTTTTTCACTTATTTTAAGGTTGATGTGGAATTTCCTTTCTGTCTCTGGGACATAACATGAAGAGACAATTAGGAATGAGACTGGTAACTTTAAGGAAAAAAATTTTTTGTTTCCAACAGAGAGCCAGTGCTAACTAAATTACTACTCATGATTTTCTACTCATGACTTTCCTGATTTTTCAGTGGTGAACTAAAAGCAGTATTCAAAGTGGTTGCAGGCGGTCTTACAGTCGTTTCTGCCGTGGAGGTACTGAGTCGTTGGTCTTCATTTGATCAAGTGGTCGCTACTGTACAAACCTGTCTGCTTCCAGCCGGTACTAGTCTGGTTCAAGTTACTGATAGCTGCGTATACCTTACAGTTCAAGCTGAAAGTTTATCAGCTCTTAAAAATTTGTGGAAATTATATCAGGATAGAACCCTTCAGAAACGCCTGTGCGGTTTCTTTGTCACTGATGAGGTAAAAGAACTCGCTGATGGAGAGGATGTAGGGGTGAATATCGCCATCGATGAAGACGAATATCAAATAGCTTTTATCGAGCTCATACAAGGGTCCCAAGGTGACCCTGAATCGCTATGTTTCACTTAATTTTAGCGAATTTCTGAGCCCAAATTATCATACGGATCGTGTTAACGTTCCTTGACACATATTTGATATATTTCCTGCTTTGAGGGTAAAAAACCAAAGAATATAAAACTAAGGGTTTGACTGCATACCGCATATTATTGTGTTTGTGGCCGTTCTCTATGTAGAATCCCCCCCCCCCACCGGAAAAAAAAAGTGAACCCCCCTTCTTCAGGGTTTTCAAGTTTCTTGGGGTTTTCTCATGAACTTTCCCAACTTCTCTTCTTTTTCTCAATGCCTCACATAGTTATTGCATCAACAAAGTAGTACAGAAAACTATTTATTACGGATACGGTTGCTACGGAGGTCAGAGGCACATTAGTGCTTAACAAGTAAATTTTTATCTTTTCCGTTTTAATTAATGTGTGATGGATGGAAAAATTCAAGTAACGAGCCAAGACAATTAGAAGGAGCAGATTCACTGGTCCGTGTACTCTTAAATTTTTCTCGTTAGGGAGACTTTTTAACTTAATATTGCAAGTTAGAACTCAGACTCAGGCACCATTTTTTAACAATTAACCTAAACGTTTCATATTTTCCTATCACTTACCTATGGGACGTTCCTTTGAAGTGTAAATTTATCGAGCTAATAATATCAGTTTTATAGTTACCGTTATTAATTTTTATTTTAAAACTTCTAGGAGGTGCATCGATTGACTATGTCGAAATAAGCAGGCGAAACCCTGAATCAGCTGTATATTTCAACGCAGTGGCTTGGGAACACTCACTGTTATATCCATAGAGGAAACTGAGGACGTATGAGGTAAAACTGATTTAACCGTTGTTTCTGTTATTTTTATGAATCGATGTTAACGGTGAATCATTACAAAGATCTAGTTTTTTATGAATAAAGGAAGAATGCTGTTAATCAGAGCTTATTGCAAAATGTTGCATCCAAATTTGCGTTTGAAGAAGAAAGGAGTATTTTCATATTGATTTTTATTTAAAGTCACATGCAGATTTGGACGTAACACTCCATCGAACTCAAGCCGCAAAAAAGATCATCAACATTTTTTTTAGTTTTCCAATGAAAACAAACTAACATAGGGTGTAGTCCATTGGCATGATCGCTGCCCTTGAAAAGTATTCTCATCTGAAAAGATGGCATAACTATCACGAACAGCATATCTTGTCCGACGTAGTTAAGTGTAGGAATTTTGATTCAGTCAACCTTCGTTATCTGCCTCCTTTCCACCACGTCGACAGCCATTTAGGCCGTTCAAACAGGGACAACAGCTATTCAATCACCGACGGACAAACATTAAACTTAGTGGCTATTCACTGAGGCAGACAACCCTTCACATTTTTAATGCGCTCAAGGGAAACACAAATGTCTCCAGTGTTAAAGGTGAACGTTTTACAAACTGCTTTTAGTCACCCTTCATTGTTCGTTTTCCCTTAACATTTTTCGCCCAAAATCACTTTTCTCTTTTGTTTTGATACATTTGACAGTTTTACTCATTTTTGTACCAATGTTGTTAAAAAAATGTCCAAAATAAAGAAAAAATACGTGTTACATTATACCCCTACCTCGCTATG